TTCTGCGCTTATCGTGTGCCTGCAATATAATGCGGTGTTAAATTGTCCCATGTTTCCAACTGTTGAACTCAGTCAACGTGCTGAGATGCATTTTCAGATGTCGCATGGCCGCTTGTCCGGCTAGGCAGTGTGTGTCATTGTTAGGAGGATCAAGGAGGCAGCCGTGGCCAGCGACGGCCACCGTGGAAACTGTTGTGACCCTCCGCCCGTGGGGTTTTCACACCAGGACTTTTTCTATGGACCAAGTCATTATGTCTATTGACGCAATCATACTCGAACTCGTCGAAGAAGCAAAGAGCGTTGTTTCTACGGAAGGCGGTCGTGTTGTAGCAAACACGCCTCCGAGCAGTATTCCGAATAGGATTCTAATCTAGTGCCGATCTGACAAGGCTGGACCAATCACCACAGAATTCGTGCTCTATAACCCCTTCTAGCTACGTAGTATTGCAGTCCCATCAGGCTTGCTTTTGCTTAGTCTAAATCTTGGCATTTGATTCCTGGTCTGGAAGTTCCCAGACGTGTTACGATGAATGTTTGGCTGAAGAACGATTACAAGCAATTCTCTGGCCCTAATGTGAACGTGATTGTTAGATCGCACAGATATCAGTAAATATAGCTCTTGTCAAAAGATTTGAAAAGCTTATTTGAAAAGCTCCTTTAGTTCCTTATTGGGCAACCTGTATTTGATTCGAAAGAAACAAAAGAAACACAAAGGATAGACGACAGCAGCGGTTTTGCCAACCTCCAACCCATTCCAACATCCAAGTCTGTCCTAAGAGTGAGTGATGGGCTTATGAGAAGAGGTGACATGTATGTGAGAAACTTCTAGGAGCTCGGCAAGGATAACCGCTTTCTCCCCGCTCGACCTTTTGAGTCTGAACATGAGCTTTGCCCTAACAAACCAGGATTTACCGTTCATTTGCTTCAGCATGGAAGAAATAGATTGCTTGGCTGGACTGGAAAATTCGCCCGCGTCAATCTTAAAGTTTGTCGGGTCCACTGTGAAATATATCCAGATGAATCCGTTGGAGTACTCGAAGGAAGCCGCACTCGCGTTCCATTTCGAAACCAGCGTGTTGAATAATGGCCCGAAGATCGTGACTGGAAGGCCAACACAGACATACGTTGCCTCATCAGGGCTCTCTGGGCGCACGGCCTTGAGTACCGATTTAGCCTCTTCAATGGATCTTGAATCAACAACGACCGAGTCGGATACCCAGAATTCAGTTGACCAGCGGTTGGAAGAAAGAGGGCCTCTCTGCAACAGGGAATGCTGGAGGCCAAAGAGGCTTCCGCTGAGACATTTTGTTTGCCTCTCTTTCTTCGCACCGAGAAGGATAATCTTCAAGTTTGCTGAATGCGTTGTCTCCAGAATACCGATCTGATAGTCATGTGGCTCCAGATTCATGAGATGCGCCTTTGAAAAAACATGAATGATGCCATTCTCGATGGATACGAATTTGCCTTGGCTATCAGCTTTGTTTGGTGGATGACCTTGTGGAATCATGGCGGAAGAGAGTGCGATGTTGATACTCCGACCGCAGAGCTTTGACTGTTCCCATTTCCAAACAAGCTCCTCGGTCTTAGAATATATAAAAGGGGCTTTGGTGACTGGAACTTTCGAGGAGAGATCAGCATGAGGAACATGCTTCCTGCTTTGTTCAGCATCTTTACAAATAGTCATTGGAAGTCAAAATACGTACCCGTTCGTAGGGTCCCAATGCGACAGAAACGGACGTTCCAGTACTTGTAACATCAAGTGCAGTATCACACAGTTCTTCCCAGCAAGATCTTGTCGTAGTAATCCGCAGATACTGGTCTCTGTCGACGTAAATGTGCAGAATCAGGTATAAAGTTGGCCGTCTTTGGGATGAGATTAGTGTATAAGACTGTATGGGAGCGCCTTACAGTGAGTGATATTCTGACGGTCTAGGATAAAAAAAGTGCACTTCACGGATGACCAAGCGAGTTTAAGTGTTTCCCCGTCACAACTTGAGTGTGCTCACACAGAACAGGGCTTCCATTGTAACAAGGTATATGCTGGTGAGAGTAGCAAGCCACGAATGTTGGCCAAACTGTTCTAGGTTACGTTGGCATCACGCCAGGCACTACTTATCGCTCAACATAGGATACGAGCTGTTTAAATATGATTCTTTCCCACGACCAGAGACAACACGGTCAAAACGGGCAGGGATGCAGCTGATAGATACACAGAGACTTTTGATCTGTGAGTAGCGTATGAAAGAAGGAAAGTATGCGATGAAAATGTTCGTAGAAATTCCAATCAACTTATCTGGATTTTGTACTGGTCATCAAGCGCGTCAATTCATAACTGTGGCTGGAACGTCAAGTTACAAGGCTAGACTACTTCAGTGAGATCCTTCCGACTAAACCTGAGGTTGACTTTGCTAGGATTTATCACATTATTGCGGGTAGAAGTGTTGAGCGGACGGAAGATGTAGATGTTGGGCGCTGCCATACTCTGGCGAATCAGACGCGTGCTATGAACAAGAAGATACTTGCTCAGATCGCACTTTGGAGATACGACGCACATATTCTCACCAGCGTATGGAGACAGGACCAAATGGTTGGGAAAAATATTAACATAACGAGCCTCTCAGTGAAAAGCGATCACATCGCTTAGCACGCGTCAATATAAAGACCGCTTACTGACAAACTGGGATTATGCACAGTTCAAATACTAAATACAAATCAAGTCGCCTCAATAGTACCACTTATATGTGGTTTTTCCTGCTCCCAGGACCGCCATATAACCAAATATTGTACAACAGAACTCTCATTCTGTTGAATAACACGTTTGGTAACTATGCTTATCGGTACTTTCTGGCCATTCTGGAGATGTCAGCTCATTCACTCAAAATGATCTCCCCAAGCGACTTACGAAACCAAAAGAGTCATTGGAATGCATGTGGCAATGCTGGCTGTAGCTGGAAGACGCAGAGGATCCGTTTGAATAGGCGGATTCCTCTCCGTCTGACACCACGAATGCGCGGTCTTCACTTGTCTTTGAAATATCTTCCTCGGAGTGCTCAGAGATTGACTCTTGTGCTTCAGAGTCATTGAGCTCACTGTGAGAGGGCATGACTTCGACAAGCTCATTTTCCCCTCTTGTGGCCATCTTGGGCAGGGACACTTGGTGCCAGAAGAATCAACAGAGTATGAACGAAATGATGTGTTTGACATTTGCAGTCTGGTGCGCCGCCCGCTTATATAGTCAAAATGTCTATTTGATGACTCTATGGTCCTGACCATTTCTAGGCGGTGTCCCAACGGGCGCAGTAATTCTTGGAGGGCGGATGGAAGCCTCAGAGACGTGCGGGAATAATTCAACCCAGCTTATGGTGCAAACCCAGTAGACAGTTGATTCACTAGATTCCTACTGAGGAAGACCCGCTCAGAGGCAGACTTGTTGACCAGATTAGGCGTTGAGAATCGTTGATCGTTTGACTTCCCTGCGTATCACGTATGCTTCATTTATAACCCTGGCCATATCGATGCCGGTGAAACCATCAGCAATCCGATAAACCCATCATCAACAGGGTTGCAGTGAAACATTCTGCAACGTGTACCACGTTGACTCAACAATGGCGAAGCAGAGCCCGGAACACCACCGACATTTCAATTTGCGAGCTGTTTAAACTGAGAACTTTGGATTTATCTCATTCCAAACATCGGTGTTTCTTCAAACTGGTCACGGAATTCGTCAACTTCAACAGGCAAATGGACGGATTAGTCAGGATACTAAGGTATGTTATAATGTCTGACGCATTGACTGATTCTTGGGACCCAGCGGTCGCTCTACCATAAAACCCTAACATCCGTCTCGCTTGGTTTGCCTATGATCCTATTTATACCGACGGGTCTCCTCGCCAGTAAAACACCTCTTCAGCGCGATGTGTTCAATTGGGACAGACTCAGACCCATCATCTGTTCCAGTATCGCGGTCTTCGGTATGTCTTCCCCCGGATGCAGTCAATTGATTCTCACCTAAGAAACGACTTACAGTCTTTCGCTGGCCACTCAAGGATCGTTGCTCTGGAAGCTCGACCGAGAAGCCCCTCGGCCAACCTCACGCGGTTTGCACCCGACCGCCGACATTGGGTGCTCTACGAGACCGCCCAGGAGCACGAATTCTTATCGTGGTGGCTGGAGACCGAATATGGACAACAGCTGACCAAAAATGGACAATACAAATTCAGATGGTCGACTGAGTCGCGTTGCTCGGAGGTGTGGAGGCAGTTTGATCAGGTGGCAGAGCTCAGGTCTGGTCGACCCAAGGTAGTGTGTCGGTCTTGCCTCACGCCGCTTAATCACCCACATCACCCAAATCACAAATCTCATGGGACAAGCGCAATGGGTAAGCACCTGAAATCTAACTCTTGTCGCAGAAGCAAGGAGAAGGTGTCCGTTTCTGCTGTCACCCTAGGCCCAATCCAGGAGGGCCGTGCGGTCTTTCCCCGCGAGAGGAGCAGATTCACCAAGGCGCAGCTCAAAGAACAGCTTCTGCGGACAATTACGTCCGCAAATCTTCCATTTGGGCTCACGGAAGAACCCACATTCAGGGAATTGTTGAACCTGGTCTATGCCGGACCACAAATTTTGGAGCTTCCCTCGTCAAATCAACTCCGCCAACATTTGCACGATGTGGCAAATACATACCAAGAATCACAACTGCAGGATCTGGCCGGGGACTCCAAAGTTTCGATTGCTTTGTGCTGTTGGAAAAGTCCGCTCGGGCACGACTTTCTGGCTACTACTGCGTATTACTTTGACAAAGAGTGGAGCTACCGAGAAGTGCTGCTTGGATTCGAGCTACTACGCAGGCCCGAGACAGGGACTGACCCGGGTGATCAATTACTTGCACTGATCAGGAACAAAGGGCTGCTTGGTCGGGTATTCAGCGTGACAATTGACTACAGGGTCGACGAGAATCTGGTGCTGCCACTACAAGAGAAGTTAATTTCCTCTGGTGGTATCAGCCGTTTGCAGTGCTTTGTTGGGGTTCCTGGCACAGTGCAGGCCATCCAGCTCTGTCTTCGGCGGTATATCGAAAACATCACAAGCTCCCCAGAAAGGGAAAGGGTTGAGAATGTGCGAGCAATATCACACGTCAATGGTTGGACTGAACCTTCAGATGGCGAAGAAATAATGTGTGTTTTGGAAAAGGTGAATGTCCTCCATCCTCCTGACGAGAAACAGCTCTGACCCTTGTGTCTTGCAGATTCGATCGTTTGCAAAGTTTGTCAACGAGACCCCCGGGAAGCGCGATGAATTCTCGTGTCTTCAGCCCCCAGGGATTCGACTCTTGCCGTTGGACGATGCAAACGCCCGCTGGAATTCGGTGTTTTTGATGTTGAAGCGAGCCAGCAGATTGCGAAGATTTATCGACCAGTACTGCCAGGAAAGGGGGAATTTACGGTACAAATTGACGAATACGGACTGGCGCAAGGTTGACTACGTCGTGCAGCTGACAATGCCATTCATCCAGTTCACTACAGCCCTCCTGGCCTCGAAAGAGGCGACAGTCCACAAAGTCTGTTTCGTGTTCAAGATACTAATGACGCATATCGACCAGTCAGCTGAAATATTGAGAAGAAAATCAGCCCCATGGAAGCGGACACTACTTGAGGCGTCGCTTGTCATGAAGATGGAACTTGGAGAAGTCTACGAAAAGACATTTCAAGACTTTGGGGTCATGTATGGCACTGGAACTTTTGTTGCGCCCCAATATAAAGTGTCCGCATTCGATGGCGCCTCGTCATGGCAAGGCTTGGGCCATCCCGAGCGCCACATCGAATATCTGAGGATCTTTCACCTACAGTATCGGCCGCAAATGCCCACGAGCTTGTCTTGTGTGAATGGACTGTCTTGCTCTCCACAGTTGTTGGGGCTCGACCGGCTTCTGCATCCACTAGCTGGTCTGGCGGGTAGTTCAAGGAGTGGACAAGATGAAGTTGATCAATATCTCCGCGAAGGTCTGAACAACTGCTCACTATATTTTCTGTTGACTACTGACACACAGCAGATGTTGTCAATATCTCGCCATGCGCTTACTGGAAAGACCATCAACACGAATGGCCTGTTCTCACTCGACTGGCTCGAGATCTACTCTCCATTCCGGCTACAGGTGCTGGCACAGAGCGACTTTTCACAGTTGCACAAAAGATCTGCCATGCGCATGGGGAATATTTCGATGAGTCGACCATCCAAGACCTAGTGATGTATGCGTACTCGGAGGAATCTGAAACAGGGAAGCAATTGATCAGCCGGGTAGAACGTAACAAGGCAAGTAACGAAGAGTGGGAGGAGTTCGAAACAGAGGCAGAAAGGCCTGAACCGATCAGCGAGGATGAGTGGAGTCCAGCTGAAGCGAGAATTGACGAGCGCCCAGAGGACGACGAAAACAGCGAGGCAGACACAGTGATTCTGGAAAGCGCACCTACGGATGATCTGGGGCAGAATATGGCAGATGAAGGCGAGGAGGAC